CCCTTGCAGGTGTGGGGTGGTTAAGGATACCGCACCCTTGCAGGTGTGGGGTGGTTAAGGATACCGCAGCCTTGCAGGTGTGGGGTGGATATCATGGCCGGGGCATGGTTTCAGTGCTAAACACCGTGTTGTGGCTATAGTGGTTAAGCGACCTGGCTCTTGTGATTGAGGGGTGGATATCCGTTTTGATTCAGTGCTTGTACTGATGAACCTATCACCAGAAAGTACCCGATTCGTAACTACGGTATACGGAGAAACGGTTAGTATTATTATTAACTTGTTATGCAAGAAGGACAAGAAATCACCATTTCTCGACAGCCATCCTTACTGTTGATTGTCTCACGGGGTTGGTCCTTTCGGGGTAATGGCTCCCAGCGGTTCATCCGGGTAGACTTGTGAGGACCCCTGCCTCAATCTTTCTTGGACCTATAATTGTGTGCGGCGTGAAGGTAGGTTGTCTATGTTGAGGCTTAGTCATGATAGTATAATGGAGAATAGTGGGGGGTAGTAGTAGCCTAGTAGGGGGTAGACAGTTTTTTTTTTTTTTTTTTTTTGAGCAAAAGCTATATTGGACAATGACCTGGCAGTTTGCCAAACTGGGTAATGTTCCTACCTCTTCCCACGAATACAACGTATGGTCGTTATAGCTGTATTTGAAGCATCTTTCAGTCTACATACAGCTATAATGACCGTACATTGTATTCGGGGGAAGAAGGTAGGATAACTCGGGGTTGATTTTTGAGGATCCCGGTGTGGACTTTCATTTGAAATGCAACGAGTGTCTGTTTAAACAGATTAAACGGAATGCGGGTTTGCTTGTTGAAAAGGCAAAGCGGAATATAATGCAGTGAGTGTTTGTTTTGCGTTATAAACGGAATAAAGGAATTTAGTACTTGTCTAAAAGGCAAAATGGAATGTAGGGCAGAACGGAAAGGAGGCCTTTATGCTTGTTGTCAAAAAGGCAAAACGGAATGTAGGTTTGACTCTTCAAAAAGCCAAACGGAATGCAGACTTGACTTTTCAGAAGTCAAAACGGAATGCAGGTTTGACTTGTCAAAAAGGCAAAACGGAATGCAGGCTTGACTTGTGA